TATATATATATATATATTAATCCTCTAATTTTGCAACTCGTCATAAGGTGAACATATCAAACGGAGGCGTGGAGTGAAATGAAAAACCTAACAAGTTTTTCAAGTTAGGATTTAACTAGCCTAATTCTAAGAGCTAGATAGATGATAAGTGAGCTAATAAATGTAAATGCTGCTACATGCAACATTCAAATTTCCCTAGGTATGTGGTCCGAACAGACGTCACCTGCGAGAATAGTACCAGTCTGCGCTAGATTACTAGGTAGTTGTGTCAGCTATCTTACTTTGTAATAAACGCTTCTGTATTACATTTGGGTTCTCCCTCATATAAAAAGGGGATCCTTGTCATATGTAGGCTATCTGTTACTTAATACTAAATACACAAGAACATTCTCTCTGCTCTCTAACATATTCTCTTGATCTCATTACTTCCATTTATTGCGTACATTCATTGTGTTCTATTTATTGTTCTTCATTTATTGTTTATCATTGATCATAAAGAGCCATCACTGTAGCTCTCATAAAGTGTTAATCCTCCTTCGATTGCTCTAAGCCGGTCACCCCACTCGACCCCGAGGCCTTATGAGCGGCAGCTCGAGGCCCCGATCTACAACTGTTTGGTTCGATTATCATACCGTCTCTAAGCAGCAATCTTTATTTCTAATCTTTTACTAAGCATCCTTGCATATAAACTAGCATAAAAATAGATCACATATTTTTAGAACCACAAAATTAAATTTAATTGTAATTACCATTTTCACAGTAAATAGTTTGGCGCCCACTGTGGGGCTAAAAATAATAGTGATTATTTTCTTGCTGGTTTAACTACGTAACGCAAGTTATCTTTCACACTTTTCTTGTCCCAGATCTTTGATTTCAGGTCAAAATGTCTAACTCAGTAAACGCACGCGAAAACAACAATCTTGAAGACCATGGAGAAAATGGTGTTGACGTCCCAGGTGTTGGTGTGCCACCACAAAACCTTGAGAACGCACCAGAACCAATTCCTGTGGACGCGGTCTCACGCGATGCCCAACGCATCGATATAAGCTATCATATTAACAAGAGCGTACATCGAGAGATTCAGCAGGAAACTCGAAGGAATCCGACCCGGGAGAAAAGAGAGATTCCTCAGCATGTCGTCCATATGATCTTCGGAGGGACCGAAATCCCCCAAGGACCCTGTCATCAAACAGATAAACATATCTGTTGCAATAGAAGAGCCGATCCGAGATCACATGACCGAAAACACCCTTGCTTTCAGCAAGGAAGATTTTGAGACCTTGACGCAACCGCACAACGACGCACTGGTAATTTTATTTATACCTAAGTAACATTAGAATTAAACGTGTGCTCGTGGATCTAGGTAGCTCGGCCAACATAGTCAAGTCAGGGGTAGTAGAACAGTTTGGGTTGCTCGACCAGATTGTACCCTCCCCAGGTCCTCCACGGCTTCAACACGGCCGGCGAGGTAACGAAGGGGGAGCTCGCCCTCCCGGTGGACGTGTCTGGTACAGTTCAGAACACCAAGTTCCACGTCATCGGCAGTGACATGAGGTGCAACTCATTGATCAGCAGGCCATGGATGCACAGCTTGAGGGCAGTACCGTCACCTCTACACCAGATAATGAAGTTTCCAATAAAGGACGGTATAACAATCGTAAATGGAGAACAACATGCAGCAAATGAAATGTTACCGGTTCACTGGGAGGCATCGAATCCAACACAGTCTACCTCGGATGAGTTCGGAAGTGTACAGACCCCCGAGGCTGATGAAAAGAATTTCCTCGCTCCTAGAACTTTCATCGCCCCTGGAGAGTCGGATACAACAAATTCGACAATTGAAGAGCTGGAGCAAACAGTTTTGATCGAACATCTCCCAGATCGGAAGGTATACATGGGAACGGGGTTAACCCCCGGACTCAGGAAAAAACTCATTCAATTCCTTATTAATAACATCGACTGTTTCTCTTGGTCCTACCTAGATATGACAGGAATCCCGCCGGAGATAACCACCCATCAAGTGAGTGTCAACCCCAGGTTCAAATCGGTAAAGCAAAAAAGGAGGTCACAGTCCAAAGTAAAACACGCATTCATCAAGGACGAGGTAACGGAACTCCTTAATATAGGGTCCATTAGAGAGGTAAAATACCCAGAATAGCTGGCCAATGTAGTGGTAGTACCCAAAAAGGGAAATAAGTTGAGAATGTGCGTAGATTAAAAAGATTTAAATAAGGCGTGCCCCAAGGATTCATTCCCATTGCCCAACATCGATCGTCTGATCGATGCCACAGCCGGTCACGAGACCCTCACTTTTCTCGAAACTTACTCGGGGTATAATCAAATTTAGATGAACCCCGGGGATAGGTAAAAGACTTCATTCATCATGAAGTATGGTACCTACTGTTACAATGTAATGCCCTTCGGGCTGAAAAACGCAGGGGCTACGTATCAACGTCTAGTTAATAAAAAGTTCGAGCATCAAATAGGCAAATCCATGGAATTTTATATTGATGACATACTTGTTAAGGCCCTGCGTGCAGAGGACCATTTGACTCATTTGCAGGAAACGTTCGACATCCTGAGAAGTTACAACATAAAGCTTAACCCCGAAAATGTGCCTTCGGAGTTGGTTCGGGCAAATTCTTAGGCTTCATGGTGTCAAACAGGGGAATTAAGATCAACCCTGATAAAATCAAGGTCATCGAAGAAATCACGATTATAAGTAATGTAAAGGCAGTACAACGGCTGACAGGGCGGATAGCGGCTGTAGGCAGGTTCATATCGAGGTCATCAGACAGGAGTCATCATTTCTTCTCTTTACTCAAAAAGAAAAACAACTTCGAGTGGACTCCAGAATGCCAAAACACCTTGGAGGAATTGAAGTGATATCTGACTAGTCTGCCTTTGCTCCACACACCAAAAGAGGATGAACGTTGTATCTATACCTGGCCGTATCCGAGATAGCGGTAAGCAATGTGCTGGTTCAAGAAGAGCAAGGTACGCAATTCCCTGTCTATTATGTAAGTCGGACCTTGGGGGATGCCGAAACCAGGTATCCGCACCTAGAAAAATGAGCTCTTGCGCTAATAAGCGCATCGCGAAAATTGAAACCTTATTTTCAGTGCCACCGTATTTGCATTTTAACAATGTACCCTCTCTGAAGCATATTGCACAAGCCCGAATTATACGGCCGATTGGCAAAATGGGCCATCGAACTTAGGGGGTATGATATCGAGTATCAACCCCAAACGGCCATCAAGTCCTAAATTCTAGCGGACTTCGTGGTCGACTTCTCGCCCTCCCTCGTGCCTGAAGTAGAAAAGGAGCTTTTACTAAAAGTGGGCATATATTTCGAGGTGTGGACCCTGTTCACTAACGGTGCCTCGAACGTGAGAGGATCCGGACTCGGTATAGCCCTGAAGCCGCCTACGGGTGGCATGATCAGGCAATCTATAAAAAATGCAAGATTGACTAACAATGAATCCAAGTATGAGGCTATGATTGCAGGTCTGGAATTGGCCAAAAGCCTGGGAGCTGAGATCGTCGAAGCAAAATGCGATTCACTTCTGGTAGTAAATTAGGTAAATGGGAGCTTTGAGGTCCAAGAAGACAGGATGCAAAGATACTTGGACAAAATCCAAGTCAAATTACACCGTTTCAAATAATGGACCCTGGTCTATATACCTCGAGAGCAGAACAACAAAGTTGATGCCCTTGCTAACCTAGGATCATCATTGAAGAGGACGACCTACTCATCGGGGCTGTTGTTCAGCTATCCAAATTAGTGGTCGAGGAAGGTCATGCCGAGATTAACTCCACTAGCCCAACATGGGACGTGAGAAATAAATATATTGACTATCTGGAAGATGGGAAACTACCCACTGATCCGAAGGAATCGAGGGCCTTACGTACCAAAGCAGTCCGATTCTCGCTCGATGACAGCGGGAACTCTTTACAGAAGAACCTTTGATGGCCCTCTAGCAGTATGCCTGGGGACGGGAGATACCGATTATGTGCTCCGAGAGATCCATGAGGGCACCTAAGGAAATCATTCCGGTGCCGATTCCTTAGTTCAAAAAATAATCAGGGCAGACTACTACTGGGACAACATGGAAAAAGACATCAAAGAGTTTGTCTCCAACTGCGACAAATGCCAAAGATTCGCCCCAATGATCACCAGCCCGGTGATCAACTACATTCAGTTTTTTCACCATGGCCGTTCATGAAATGGGGGATGGATATCGTCGGACCTTTACCAATGATGCCAGGTAAAGATAGATTTATTTTATTTATGACTGACTACTTCTCGAAATGGGTTGAATCACAGGCCTTCGAAAAGATAAGGGAAAAGGAAGTCATAAATCTCATCTGGGACCACATCATATGCCGATTCGGAATTCCTTCTGAGATAACATGTGATAACGAGAAGCAATTTATCGGAAGCAAAGTGACTCAGTTCCTCGAGGATCACAAGATTAAAAGGATCCTGTCAACAGCCTATCACCCGTGTGCAAACGGCCAAGCTGAATCTACAAACAAAACCATCATCCAAAACTTAAAGAAGAAGTTGGAAAGCGCTAAGGGAAAGTGGAGAAAAATATTGCTCGAAGTGCTATGGGGACGACCCCAAAATCAAGCACAGGGGAAACACCTTTCTCTTTAGTATATGGTGCCGAGGCTTTGATACCAGTAGAGGTCGGAGAGCCAAGAGCTAGATTCCGACACACTACCAAGAGCTCGAATAACAAGGCCATGACTATGGACCTCGAACTATTGGATGAATAGTGAGAAGCCTCATTGGTCCGAATGGCCTCCCAAAACAAAGGATCGAAAGGTATTATAACAGGATAACAAACCTACAACACCTCGGAGTCTGGGACTTGGTCCTAAGGAAAGTCACCCTTAACACCTGAAACCCTAATGAAGGGAAGCTAGGCCAAAATTGGGAAGGGCCGTATCGCTTCCTCGGAGTAATCGGTAAAGGATCCTACAAGCTCGGTACCATGGAAGGCGAACAGGTTCCAAGCAATTGGAACATATCAATGCTGAAACGATACTACTACTAAGGTATCCGATGGAAGATTCTGAAATACCATTCGGCTCGAAGACCTTAAGGTTTCAAAGCATATGTTGCACTCTTTTCTTTCGACCAGGTTTTTATCCCAAAATGGGTTTTATCGGCAATGTTATTAACGAGACAACACCTACATGCTACCTAAGGAAAACTCGACAAGTATTCAAGGCTTCTTTTTCAATCAACCACGAATACTGGGGCATCCCCCTGGAAGGTCACCTTCTCGGAGAAGCCAGGATGCGCTAAATAGGGTATCAATAGGAAAACAATGTACCGGGCCAAACGGTCGAATGAACCGTGCCCGCATAGAATAACTGAGTCCTCAATAGCAAAGACATGTATACTTGTACCAACTAATCCAAGAATACTTTCAAACAAAGCATTTTGCGTTCCAAAGAAGCTCGCTATTTTTGAAAAAATGACTCCTCTGTCAAAAACGTCTCGAACACTCGGGGACCAGCATCAACAACTCGAAACAATGCGACCCCCGGGTCGGAGCTCCAAACTTACAAGCCCTCGATGAGGCAACACAAAGATCACAAAACAACTCTAGAGCCAAAAATGTCCCGAACACTCGAGGACTGGCGTTGAAAACTCAAGGCACGTGACCTTCGGGTTGTAAACCCCAAAATCATAAGCCCTCAATGAGGCAGTACTAAGTTTACATGTAACGACTCCTGAGCCAAGAAACCCTCGATGACTCAAGGACTGCCGCCAATCACCACCCCCATCGACTTATCAAAACCCGAGGCAATAAGACCACATGCAGACAGCTTCGATCCTGTAAGACCTATATAAGGCAACAACAATAACTGTAAGACCTTAAAGGCATGAAAAATCTGTATGAACTCAAGCAAGGCTCTGTAAGACCTCAAAGGCATGTAAAACGTGTAAGACCTTACTAAAGGCATAAACCCGATCTTAGAGTTAAGGCTATATATCGAACTTGTAAGACCCCTAAAAAGGCATAGCCTCGATATAGACGCCGAAACTACTTCACTCGGTGACTGAAAGGTTTCAGCCAAATGCAATTACTACGGTCACAAGGCTGTACCAGCCAAACTAACGTGACTCGAGGACGCCCGACCGTCGCTGTAAAATCACAGGCCTTCAATTACTTCGAATATACTTCAAAAAAAACCAGTTAAACAGGCTACCCTCGACACGGGCACAAGAGCTTCGACCATGTCAGCTCCTAATTACAGGCTTCGAGAAACTCAGCCACCGAGCCAAACCTCCCGAGGCGCTCGATCATCGCCATATAACGGCTCACAATCGAGGTTTTATCAAACCGTCAAAGATTCGGGCAAACACAACTTCAAAAATCCTTAACGAGGGAAAAATAAAGCCTATATTAAAGGTCGCATCGACCCAATGCGTAAGAGCCACTGTTGCCAGCCCATATAAAAGGTCGTACCGACCTAAAGCGTAAGAGCCACTAACGCTAGTTTACATTAAAAGGTCATACCAACCCAACGCGTAAGAGCCTAAGGGCCAGCTTTAAATTTAAAAACTTGAGGGTAAATTGAGCTCGAGTCGAAACCTTAATTGGAGACTTAACCCGAAACAGTTAACTAAATACACCTAAGGGCGAAAGCATAAGAGCCTAAGATGCCAGCTTACACTAAAAGGTCGCACCGACCCAATGTGTAAGAGCCACTGTCGCCCGGACTAAAATCAAAGGTTGTGCCAACCCAGCACATAAGGGCCAGGTCTAACCCGAGAACACTCGGGGACTGACATTCGACCTTTACGAGCCGCTCAGAAATAGCAAAACCCGAAGGTCTAACCCAAGGTCTAAAATCTCGGGTCGATTATCACATCACACATTACTCCCAAAAGGCAAAGGAGAAAAGGAGTGATAAAAAAGGAAAAACCTTTATACATATTGCTCATAGAGGCACATTCATAAGAACTTTAATAACCCTTACAAAGAAGGAGCCGAACAAAATCCTAATCTATCACAGAGCCTACATCTTTGGCACCTCCGCCGGAGGTTGTGCTCCGACGGTTCCGGCTACAGCTTCGGGCCCTTCAACGGCCTCTCCCCTTCTGGGGATTCCTCCTTCATTCTCATCATCTCCTAAGACACTACCCGACAAACCTCCAGAAGCTAACAGGGCAGCAGTTTTCTTCTCTAGGGTCTTCACCCTCTCGAGCTCGGCAGACAAATTGATACCCCCTGCGTGTATATCCCCGAGAGTCCGCCTCCGATATTCTAACCGAGCATGTTCTAAGGCTCGAGTCAATTTCAATTCGGCCTCCTCAGGCGCTCACCCGGATTGAGAGTTTACTACAACGTCATCCCCTTTGTGTGAAGATACAAGTGCCTCAGCTTCATTTTTGATTCTGTATAGTGCAGCAACTAATTCAGAATGGAGACCTCTATACTTGTCACTATCTGCCCTCGCGTCGTGAAGCTGGTGCCCAACTAGGGCCATCCTTTCCTGGAGGGTGTCCCTCTCAAAAGTTATCTCGCTCACGTGCCGTTTGAGTTCGAGAACTTCGGAGTCTCTAGCTAGGAGCTCCTCCCTCAGTAAGGCACCTTCCCTCTCAAACTGCACGAATCGGATCAAAGATGTCAAAATGCTGGGATCTGGCAAACATTCAGACAATAGCAAACGGAAGCTAGGTAACCTGTTCAACGAGATAAGTCTTCCCACGCTCGTGACGAGTCATCTCAGCCTGAAACCGGGCAAAGTCTGATTATAAAGCGCCCTGGCCTGAAACCATAAAGAATTCAAGTTAGAAAGATAAAGATCAGGACAACAGGCAGGATTTATAAAAACTACCTGCTTATAAGGCCTGTTCATCTCGCTGAAGACGAGCTAAGCATCGAGCTCAGGGATTCCCTCGGGACCAGCTAAAGTCTTTTCAAACGCATCTCTGCCTCCGATGGGCACCCCCACATTGGAAGGTTTTTCATTCTGGGCATCTTGCATCCCCTTAGGAGGTAAGATCGTTACCTGAGGGGAATCACTCACGACAACAACACCAACAGGGTCAGTCGGGCCTGTTTCTTGTTCTTGCAGGGCTTCAGAACTGGTTTTCTCCTAACCGCCTGCTGAATGCGTCTCAACTCGCAGGATATTTCGGCCATCAGCCAGGTCGGGGACATTACCCAATACTTCCTCAATAGCCTCTCTATCCCGAAGTCGGACTATGACAACATCAAGCTCTGGCTCGGGAGCCATCATCTCTCCGCCGTAGAGGGTCGATCGGGTTTTCCCCTCCTTCGGGCGCTATCAAGAAATTATTTTCTCCCTCGCCTTCAGCTTGGGGACTTCTCGCTGCTTCTGGGGCTAAGGCTGTTGGGTCGGCCTTGGTTTCTTCCATCTTGGTATTCTTTGATTCCGAAGGTTCATTCGACGGACCCCTTTGTCTTTTCTTGCCTTCGTCGGGTCTCAAGGTATCCGCTTCGCCAGGCAATATTTCCTTCATAATGGGAACCTCCCCCAGACCTACACGAATGCAAGGTGTAAGCACAGGGAGTAAGGACGCTAACAGTCAGATTAAAAGGTACGACTGCAGCTAGAGTAAAAGCTCGCCATGATCCTTGGCTTCCCATCGGGCTTGGGACAAATCATGCCACACTCGCTCAGCGTATGGGCAAATCAAGTCCAGTTGACCGATCCAGCCCGAGAGGTCCGTAATCGCGCTGGGGTAAACTCCTATGGCTGCATCAGCAGAAGAAATTAGTGCGTGGAAAGATGTACCAAAAAGAAGTGAGGAGATGCTAGATAACGTATCTACTTAAGTTCCATGTTCCAACTCTCAGGGAACGGCATCCTTTCCAGCGAGTTCAGTTCTGAAGTCCTAACTCGGGCAAAATGGCTCATCCACCCCTCGTTCCTGACTTCATCAATGCAAGCAAAAGGGGCCCTCAAAGCTCGGCAGTGGAGCTTAATTAGGCCCCCACGGAAGAGACGGGGACGTACATCCTGACCGGGTGGTCGAGCGTGAAGGGTATCCCCCCAATCATGTTCATATAATACCTGATCATATAGACAATGCGCTAGAACGAAGGGTGAATTTGGCCGAGGGTCACTCGATACCGTTTGCAGAAGTCGAGAACCACAGGATCTATCGGAGGCAAGGATGGCCCCACCGGCCCAAAGGTAAATGGGTAAGTGTACACACTAAGAAAATCAGCTTTGTATGTCGTTATATCCTCCTACCGAGAAGGGACCTCCACAAGCACCGCATCCTCCCAGCGGCAATCAGTCCTCACCCTTTCTACGTCTGTTATTGAGCTAATATATTGAGAAACATGCTCACGACGCCCCTCTTTGAAGAAGGTTTTTCGACCTTGATATCGGAAGTCGTTGCAAAGGACCTTGGAACGCATTCCTCAACACGAGGAGGCACTACTTCTTCGCCTTTGGATGAAATTGAGGTGGAGGAGGTTACATTCTCCTGAGAAATAGAGGCGGAAGTTTTTGCCATTCTTAAAAGATTTCAAAGGAGAAAAGGAAATTGCGCTTCAAAGAAAGAACAAGAGTGAAAAATAAGGAACAAGAGAAGAGGTAGTCCAATACGCACGATGAAGGAGGCCAAAGGACAGCCAGCCGTTGTAATCTTTACGAAGG